CGGACCTAGCACCGTGCGACTTTTTTCTCTTCCCAAAAATCAAGTCTGCGCTGAAAGGGACCAGGTTCGAGTCCGTGGATGCAGTGAAAGCAAAAGCGACGCAACTCTTGAAGAGCATAACACAAGATGACCTGCAGCACTGCTTCCAACAGTGGAAAATTCGCATGGAGCGGTGTAGGGATCGGGGAGGGGACTACATTGAAGGGGATAACATTTCAACTGTCTGATTTTTTTTTAATAAAGGGTTAGAGCATGAATCCGGTTTCTTTATTGCCACACCTTGTACACCACTAGGCCAAACTGTCAATAAGGAATACTACCAAGAAGTCCCCTGTCATCTTCATGATGCAGTTCGGCACAGTACATCAGAGCTGTGGGTGCAATCAATTGGCAGCTGCATCATGACAGTGCCCCAGCTCATTCATCACACCTGATCCAGGGTTTCCTGGCCAAGCCCACCATTCCACAGGTTTACCAAGCTCCCTGCTCTCCTGACATGACTCCTTGTGATTTCTGGTTGTTCCCAAGATTGAAGACACTGCTAAAAGGCTCCTGTTTTGACAGCCATGATGACATCATACAGAATGCGATGGCACAGCTGCACACCATTCCAAAACAAAACTTCCAGAATTGCTTCCAGTGATGGAAGGACCAGTGGGCTAAGTGTGTGGAGAGCCTACTTTGAAGGGGATTAGGTATTGTAACCACCCAGATACAGAACTTTGTTTTCCCAGCCCAAGGTCGGATACTTTTTGGACAGAGGAATATGTTAAGTTGAGAGCTTCATCTTCAGTTAGAGGGTGAGAAAGTGAAGAATGACCTTTTGCCTACATATGTGATTTACAGCTGTTCCAATGATGGCCGATCATCCTAGTCCTGTCTGGGAACACTACATTAGCAATAGTGAGGCCAGTTTGGTTGTCACAACTACAGAATATGCTGACAGTCTTCAGAAGGTGGCAGTCAAGGCTGGGGCTCAGTTACTGGTATTAGATGAAGCTCTTCGTGTCCTGGCTATGAAGGCAGCCTCCAAGTCTACACTGTTGGCTGCAAAACCAGAACCATCTCCATGGGATGAGGCTCAGCCACTGGAAGGGGGACTAGACCCTCAGTTCTACAATGATAATGACGCAATGATCATCTATACCTCTGGGACAACTGGACCACCCAAAGGTATTCTTAAGAGGATATAATCCTCAGTTAATTAGTTCAAATTGGTAATCTCCATAATACATACATACGATGGGGTACCCAAAAGAAACCGAACTAATTTTTTTGTGGGCAGAGCTTTTGTAGTACCACGTTTTGCCACTATGAGCGCATAGAGCTAACATTCCTGAGTCGATAAGCCGACTACCGTTGCTTCAGAAGGTAAGGACTAGTTTCGGCAGAGTTTATAGTGACAACTGTTTTGTGTGATCATCGTTTTTGCAATGGCTGATTTTCGTGAACAGCGTGCGGCAGTGAAATTCTGCTTTTTGCTCGGGAAAAGTGGAACAGAAACTCTGGAAATGTTAAAAATGGCGTACAAGGACGATGCTATGGGGAAAACTCAAGTGTTTGAGTGGTTTTCCCGTTTCAAAAATGGTGAAATGTCAATTGATGACAAACCTCGTTCTGGTCGTCCTTCCACGGCCCGAACACATGAAAATTTTTAATATTTGGTATAAATTTTTATGGGCATATTTTAGTGCATATTTCGGAAGTTTTTCATGCATAAGTGCGTACATATTTAAGGGATTATTAGGGCATAAAAATCCGGTCCCTATTGATGATACAGTGTCTCATTGTACTCCCATTTTTTCTCCAGTATATAACAAATACAAAAAATCTGGTGAGTAGTTGGTCTATTATGTTGAAGTCCACACTGATAATCCTCAGTAATTTTGTCTGCATGTTGGCTTAAGCATGAGATAAGGATATTGGATTAAATTTTGTATGAAGTTGGTAACAGTGATATGCCCCAGTAATTAATAGTCTGTTTTATTGCCCATCTTGTAAATTGGTGCAATAATAGACTGCTCCCACTGCCCAGGCACTTCTTCCTTATTCCAAATAGAATTAATGTACTTATGTATCTTGGAACATAAAGTTTTGCCCAATACTTGAGTCATTTCTGCCAGAATTTGATCAGTACCTGGTGATTTATACTTTTCAGCTTTGTAATAGCAGTTTCACCCACTAAAGGACTAGGCTCAGGTACTGATGGCTCATCTGTAGGTATTTCTGTCTTCATGACCATAGGTACATTCAGTAGCTAGTGAAGAAGCAGCAACATAATTTAATAGACATCTGAAAGAAGTGGATTAGATTATGACTTTAATGCATTGTATTGAACTAAATTACAGAGGACAATATTAATTGATTATATTTAATTTCTAAAGCTATATACATTTTCATTTCCTTGCTTTTACACTCATTGTAAATGGCCCATTCACAAACGTAAAATCCAAGTTTCACTGTATTATGGTTTTGTTGCAGGTGCTATTATTACTCATGCAAACATACATGCCCAGATATCTTCACTTGTTGAAGCCTGGGGATGGACAGAGAAGGATATTGTACTGCACACATTACCTCTGCATCATATACATGGGATTGTGAATGTTCTCATGTGTCCTCTTGCAGTTGGTGGCAGGTATTCACACATTATGTAAAATCATGTAACCAAATGTGTATATAAAGTAAAAGTCCATTGTAACAAATACATCCTCTAACAAGAAGTTAATTTTAATGAACACCTTTCATGCATTATAATTATAGTGAAACCTAGATATACTGAGAATATTTAAAATTTGTGTGTGAACATGCTCATACTAATGGTTATTCATAGCATCTAAAAGTGGGTGAAATATTCTTCATAATTTTGAAGTCCTTATCACAGTGTGCCTAGGTCAAAGGTCTGATGTTATATGTGACTGATTGTTCTTTTTTATAGTGGTTATTATGAAGGTATGAAAGTAACAAAGAATAAATTCAACATTCTTGACATCTGTAACAGTGATTCACTCAAAGCTGACCAGTTTTAAGAGTTTCCCCTCACAAGCAGAAGGCCGTCTGTCTGATAATCCCACCCTTACTTGAACTTCGTAACTTATTGAAAGCTTATTTTGTGACAAGAATTTATTGTATGCTTCAAAAGTATTTTAAAAACTATTTATTTTTACTTTTTCAGTGAAATATATTTTCTTCTGTGTTTGCTTTTAACCTTTAACGTACAGACTTTTAAATTGCTGGGAGCCCTCTGTGGCCACTATTTAAATCACCCAAATTAATTAACATTGCAAACTTTAAGGAAAAAATACATATTTTCTGTTCTGTGCAACATATAAATACGAACTAAAAACAGTCTGAAAGACAATAAAATTTTCTACATATACTCAAAAGAGCAATTTTTACAAATGAAAATTAACTGTGATTATTTTATCATGAAATGCAAAATGTAATCTTTTATATATATGTTATGAAATTCCAAAGGACGTACCCATTGTTTTTTCTTCAACCTTGAATCATGGTGATATTGTAAATACAGAGTTATTCAAAAAGAATGAACTGATTTCATGACACATTGCTTCAGTTCCCAAGCATCATCATGGAATGAGTCAGTGACCATTTGAAACAGGAGTTATCTAAGTTTTGAATGGCTGCCACAGGGGCGCTGAAGTCATGTTGTTCTTCTGGCAACATTCAGATGTTCGTTTACCCTCAGAATGGAGAGTCCTCAGCAAAAGGTGTTCTGCGTTCTCAAGTTCGCAAAAACAAATGTGGTTATCACTGTGCAGCGTGCTTTACGAAGGCGATTCGGCATTAATCTGCCCTCTCCTAAGAACATTCGATGGTGGTTTCAACAGTTTCAAGAGAGTGGGTGTCTGTGTAAAGGAAAAAGTCCAGGACGACCACAAGTCTCGGAGGAACAAGTGGCAAGAATCCGAGCTGCGTTTGAGAGGAGCCCGCAGTCAACAAATCGAGCTAGCCATGAGCTTGCGATCCCTCAGTCCACTGTCTGGCATGTGCTAACAGTACGTCTACATTTGAAACCATACAGACTGCAGCTCGTTCAGGCACTTACCGATGATGACAAAAGGAAGCGGATGGAATTTTGCGATTCGATGCTGGAGATGATGGAAGACGAAACCTTCATTTCACGTTTAATTTTTAGTGATGAAGCGACTTTTCACTGGAGCGGCACAGTCAGTCGACACAATGTGCATATTTGGGGAACAGAGCACCCATATGAAACAGCTGAGCATGAAAGAGATTCCCCTAAGGTGAACGTCTTCTGTGCTGTGTCTCAGGACAAGGTTTATGGTCCATTTTTCTTTGAAGGAAACACTGTTACAGGACAAACCTATCTCAATATGCACCAAAACTGGCTCTTCACTTCACTGCAAGCAGATTCGCATGACTTCATTTTTCAACAAGATGGAGCACCGCCCCATTGGCACCTGATGGTCCGAGCTTTTTTAAATGAAAAAGTGCCCCAGTGATGGATTGGTCAGAAGGGGGCCCAAGACCTTGCTCTTTGTACTTGGCCTGCGAGATCCCCAGACCTCACCGTGTGTGATTTCTTCTTGTGGGGATATGTAAAAGATCATGTTTATGTTCTACTGCTACCCACTAACCTCAATGACCTTAAACTTCAAATAACAACAGCGATTAACTCAGTACATCGTGATATGCTGGTACAAGCCTGGGAGGAATTCTCTTATTGCATTGATGTTGCCCGTGCTGCAGGTGGTGGCCACGTTGAAGACTTGTAAGACAGGAAATAAAAGTTGATTGTGAGTAGAATACTTGTGACTTGGCTGGAGTTTTGTATTACTTTCCTTTAATAAAATATTGCATAATAAAATCGGATCATTCTTTTTGAATAATCCTGTATAGTCACACTTATATACAATATTATTTTGTTCAGACTATACACAAGTTTGAACTGCGTCACTTCACAGTTTATGATACACTCTGACGCATGTGGCACTTCTCGAAGCAGTCCACCTCACATAGAGCGACACCACCCTTTTTACAATAGAAGAGCGTGCTCCTGCTTTTCTTATTTAGCGAAACACATGACAGCATCTTTGTTTCCCTTTGATTGGCCAGTGTTGTGAATGTTTCACCTCCAGGAATGACTTTACGATACAGAAGTACTCTATGAAGAAGCAGGGAACAATTTTTACAGTATGCATCAAAATTAAAATTATAATATAACTTCTTTGTCTAAATATTTTCAAATCTTACATTATACCATGCGACACTATGTTCTTTGCTGATAAAAACAAAGTTAATTCCATTCGTTTATCATAAAAATATTGCTAGATACGGCATTTTTAAATTCGGTGTAAGCATCCTAACAAGAAGTGACATCTAAATGCAGAGCAGCAGCTGGCATTTACATAAACTCTGGCCAGCTCAAGTCCAGCATTTAAAGGTTAATGAACACCTTTGTGAGATGTGTACTGTAACGTGTCTTGAGTTCGAATCTTGTTGGTCACGTGTGTAAGTCCAATCCCACTTCTGACACCAGTGTAACGTGTTTCGTTACTGAAGACGCCGTTTGGATTGTTAATTGGTTTATTTAACAACCTACAAGTCGTAACTACAATTGATTATAACACTGTTGCGGGGTTTCACACTTTATAACCCTATTCGCAATAATCTCTTCACTCTGTCCTCAGTAGTCTACACGTATTCACAGTACGGGAGCTGTGTAAGTGTCCCTGCATCACACACTCCCAGTTACACAATTACACACACGTCTGGTTCTTCTTTCCGCGACTGCTGCTATACTCCAGCTGTGTCACTCTTGATCACACACTGATTGTGAGGAAAATTTTATTTTGATTTGTGCTTGACAGCTGCTGCTTTGCATAAAGACAGTGTGAGACTTTGAATTTATTACATTTCTCTGTAAAAGCTCATCAGATAGAAATGTTATACATGACATATATTTAGTTAAGTTATATTTGTTTTTGTGCAGTAGGTATATCTAATGAAATACACAGAAAAGAAACTTATATTTCTGTGCACTGTAATATCTTTGTTGTTTACAGGCAGAAGTACTTATTCTTTGGCTGGGGTATGGTTGCTTACCTTATCAGTTTCACAGTATGTTGTAGTTAAAACGTTGAAGAAGGAATAACACCCAAATCAGCTAAATCTGCAGAGCAGAGTCCTTCTTAAGGAGTTAACAGTTGCTTGCCTAATGAAGAAATCCCCAGCATTTTATGGAAGTAGAATGTTCGTTACCGTGTTCACAAGAGCTTGCCGCTGAACCAGACGCATTCTGTATGTACTGGTACTAGGTTACATCTGTCACCAATAAATTTTTGTATGCAGTAAGAGAACAGAACACTTGAAATTGGGGTATATGTTTCTACTGTTGTTTTGTTCTGGTTGTAATTATTTAAAGTTTGTTCATGTTTGATTATGTGAATTACTTCATAGGTGTGTAATGCTTCCCAAATTTGAGGCTGCTCGTGTATGGAGTTACCTCCTAGCAATAAACATGCCAGCGAATGAACGAGTGAATGTGTATATGGCAGTTCCCACTATATATATGAAACTGGTAGAAGAGTATGATCGTATTTTTACCAAGAATGCGCGGATGCAGGAGTACATACGAACAGTGTGTACACAAAAAATAAGGTAAGTAGCCACCATTGTTCCATCTAAGCTGCATCATGCATCTACTAAATTGCGGCAGCTCACATTCTGCCTTCCTTCATACACAATCTGCACAGACTGGTAATTAGAGTTTTGTCTCTTCAGAACATAGTCTCAGTATTTCCACAAAGGAAATCCCTCCTAAGATAAACCATATATTAAATATGAAAATCTGACATCTTTAATCTGATTGTCATTAAACATGTACAAGCATAGTTAATTAAGCAATAGTTTTTCAGTATTTTCGGCAATAAAAAAACCTCATAGAATGAAAATATTGAGCATATCACCAGATGACATTCACAAGATCTGATGTTATCAGCTACTGGATAGCTAATGTCTGAGAGCCATGAAACCAATAATGTGAATAATTCTTCCTTCAGCCTTGAATGTACTAGTCATAATTTTCAGTGTTTTAAGAACTAATTGAGTACCAAAGGAGCTTTCATCCAAACAAATGCTAAATCCCCATTATTGCATGCAGTTGTACAACTTCAGCTGTAGGACAGTGCAAAAAATACTTCTTCCCATGACTTGTATGTCATAAATACAAGTCACTCAGAAAGACTTGAATGTAACAGTGTAAATAAATGTATGTGGGGAAGTCATAAAATTTTAATTATAACCCAGAAGAAACAGAGACACAGGTGCAAGAAACTGTATGTGAGTTAGTCCTTCTCTTCATATGACCCCTGCAAGGCCACACATTTTCTCCAACGATGCATTAGCTGCTGGGATACCTTGATCATTACGGTCTCATTTTGACCGGAGGAAGTTCTCCAGTGCAGAAAAGATGTCATCATCATCTTGGAATTGCTTACCACAAAATGGCTACTTTAGCCATGGAAAGAGGAAGAAGTCGCTCTGTGCCAGGTCTGGTGAATATGGTGAATAGGGGAGAATTTCTGCCAAACTGGCAGTAAGTGTCGTCGTAACATGAGCAGCATGAGCCATTGCATTGTCGTGAAGAAGTCGCACACCTTTTCCCAGCATTCCGTGTCACTTTTTCTTAATTTCCTCCCGTACTTTTCTCAGAAGCTTCTGGTAGTACATGCCAGTGATGATGTCCTTTTGCTCGTAGTCAGTTATGATGACAATTCCTGGTTCCTCAGTCAGAGATGGTCTTCCACTTTGGGGTTCAACTTCGAGGTTTGTCTGTCAACAATGAAAGCGCCTCTTCCACCTGACCACTGTGTTATATGACGGTACACCTTCCTGATACACAGTGGTCATCTGGTCATGCATCTCCCTGGCAGACTCCCCTTGCAAATGCAGGAACCATATCACAGCGTGAACCTCCATTTTCTCAACCAACGTCGCCATTTTGCTTCAGCCCCTTCCGGTGGCTCCCTCTGTCTACTTGGCGCTGGGAAATTTTACTGTTCGGCAAGCTCAGGAAATGGGCTATCTCCTATATAGAACGATATTTTGGACTTATGATTTTCTCATGGTGATAATTAAAATATTATGACTTCCTGTCGTACATAACTTATAAGTTCAAATAGAACAGATTCACCACCTTAATATGTTAAAAAAGAAAACAGGTGAGACTTCCAGCTTTATAAGGAAGAGATCCTGTGATAGATTAAAAAAGAATGGCTTTCTGGACTTAAGGAAACAGTAATCCACAACTGTTACACTACTTTGATGTTCGCTAAAATTGCGTGTTGCACTCCACTTAAAATAACAAATAATTACTTAAAATTCATTAAAATCCTTCGTAAAATCCTATTCCACCTCGTAAGGGGTGTCGTCCACGTGTACGTGTATTCCAGACAGTTTGTTTTGGCAGCTTGTTTTCCTGTTTCTGTTTCTGTTACATATGCAGTCTGTAATATGCCCCTTGCAAGGGGGCATTACAACCAAAAACACAACTCCTGCCTTTTACATTATTTTAGTGGAATTGTTTTGTTTTTAAATTGTTTAAATTTCATTTAAGTGTCCAAGTATTCATAAACATAACTTTCGTGTTATTTGAAGAATTACTGTGCTTGTAATAATATATCTGGATTGTAAGAAAATTATTATATGAATTCCACTCAATGTGGAAACTTGCTCGTACAAACCAAAGGTCCATGCAGACACAGAAGAAATTAGTGGAAACACTGGAAAACATAAACGTCTGTGGCTCCTGATAATGTAATACACGTTGAACATTCAGTGGGTAATTTCTTATAAAATTTGGTTCTGATATGATTTCCCATCCTATTCTCATTTTTCTCCCCCTTTCTTCTTCTTCTTTACAGTAAAACAGTACATCATTTTGCCCTGTATACTGAAGCTGCTGACAGCATTATTAAATAAACCATAAATCGAAGTAAAATGCATTGTTCCATCATCCACTTTCTTTCTGTCCCATCATGTTGTCATTTCGCTGTTTTTTATTTATGTTGAACAGTTACCTTACTCCATTTATTCCTTACGTTTATCCTGTTCATGCTGTGACATCATGGGTGAAAGCCAGAGTAGTGGAATAAGAAGAGGCAGCCATTGCCAGGCTACGGTGTAGTAAACGCATTTCTGCAGCAGTGAATCAACATGCAGCAGTAGAGAAACTGTTGTTGGAAGCGGTGTTTTTTGTGTGGTCTGTGCTGAGGCTATATAGTGAGGGCCAGTGGGAAAGTTAAACAGAAGAATTTGTGTGTGTACTGTAGTTGCAGTAAATTACAGAGTGTGCAGATTATTAAGAATGTTGTAATCCTTTGTAGTTATGAGTTAGAGCAGCCAGTAAATCCAGTAATTAGTCCAAACCCTACATCTAGTGACTAACAGGGGACAATACAAGTAGACTCAGAAGGGTTCTGACAGTGGTGTATAACACTCAGGATTATTGGATTTTAGGACTTTGTTCATCATGCAGTATTCTAAAAAAAAAAGTAGAGAAAACCACGTTTTGGAAACTGCATCTGTTTCCATCCTCAGGTGAATGGGGAGACACCAACTTGGTTGGGTCTCACTTTTCACTCTTTTCCACCTATAGTTTGCATTAAAACCATTTAAAGAAAGTTTCATTTTTAATGCCATCTGTTGCATCATAGCAGTGGTTCTGCAATTGAGCATTTTAAGATTGTTTGATTATTTTCACATGGATTCCAGTCAGAAATGGCTTTATTAAACACTTCTCCTTAGTTACAAGTTATAAAAGTAGGCAATTTTGCTCCCCCTGCTACTTCACCTTCCTCCCCTTATTTGTGTTCTTCTTGCTTCCTCAGTGCTCTGTCACCTCAGACTGACACACCAAGTCTGGCATGTGCATTATATACTTCTCTTATAGCTTTGCTTCCAGAAATTTGCATCTGTTGATCTTATGTTCATTGCTGGGATATGTGAAATGACATGGCATTGCATAGTAATGGGCATCCCCCTGAAGTTTCTGCTTCCTCAGCCTTGCGATGCTTATGAACTTTAGACACCTTACATTGCTCCCTGCTTTAGATTTCTTACCTTGACCAACCTCCTGGTAAGATGCTAGTTCATCCAGGTGTACTACCATCATCCATGGTGTGAGAGGAATCACCTGCCGTGTCTGTGGTCATTCCTTTCAAGCGTTGCTCAGATGTTTTACTGGTGACGTGGGCTTCGACCCTTGGTTCAGGGGACACAACTGGCTGTGCAGGTGTTACTCTGTCAGCACCATCTTTCAACCTCACTGCTGACTTGTAATCAGTGATTCCACTCTCTGACCTTGCTCAGGATTTTGTTGACACCCAGATAACCTCCTAGTGATCTCCCATGGAGTACAACCAGTACTTCCTTCGCCTGGCTCAATGGAATGATTTTGGGTCATTCAGGTCCACCCAGTGTTTGACTCATGGTGATCTATTACACCCTTGTTCAATGCCAGGGATTTTCATTGAGTACGTGGGCTTTTGTAGATGAGGCTGTTATCAGCAGTGTCCTACCCTTTAGACATCCAGCCTCTATTTCCCATAGCACTGGCCCCATGCTGTGGCCTTCCAGCTACTCCCTCCTTGGGGTGGTATGGTCCCTACCATCTGCAGCCATGGTTGCAGTGACCCACGCCTTGTGGCTGCCTGTCTGTCCCTCATCTTCCTGGCAGTGAGTTCATACCTTTCAGCATGGTCCTCTAGGTAGTGCATCTCAAACTGGAATCCTCATCCTGTACACTCCTCAGTGGATATGGATGTCTCAATGTTGATGGTCATGTGGTATGGCTTGTGTTCTACTCAGCCCTTAGTGCTTAGGCAATTGTTTCTCCTCCTGACTGATACACTGAGAATGAAATACAGAGGTTGGGATGGTGAGGCCAGTGTCTTCTACATACCATTGCATGCTTGTTTATCAAGTCCTGGTCAACATCCTCTCAGGCGGTCGTTCTCGGCACTTTCCCGGTCTTTTGCCCCATCAATAGATGCATAGGCTGCCTCCGCCTGGATGAGGTACTGAGGTAACCCAACAAGGGCTGATTGCTGGATGTCTGTGGCTAACTCTTGCAGTTACTGGCTTTAAGTTGGGAGCAGTACATTACAGCCAGTAAATCGTTCTGGAGTACCTCACTGATGTCTTAATACAAAGTTTCTGCAGGGGTGCTGTGCAGAACGTTGGTTCCCTTCTCGTGGACTGTCCATTTGTGCTCAGCATTGTTCTCAAACTGATGAGTAATCAGGATATGAACCCATCAGACCTCAGTGCTTTTACCCTTTCTACACTGGTCACTAATCCCTCCACCTCCATGTCCCATTCGGGCTTCTATTTTTGCAAGTTGTGCTTTGAACTCACACCGTGTAATGTCTGCCACCAACTTCATCACTTGTATATCTAATTGTGTTGCTTATATCTCATCATCAGATTTCTCACTAAGGTTCTCTCTCATTGCTTGTATGTGCTGTCATGTTCCTTGTATCTCTTTATCAGATTTCTTGTAATGGTTCTGGGCCTGCTAGTCACTGGCCACTGGGACATCTTCCATGTGCTTGCTTGGCCTGTGATGGTCTCTTCAAAGTGGCCTGGCCAGACTGGGCAGTACTTACTGCAGCTTCCATCTCATCTTGGTCAACCATCACTCTTCCTGGTCAGCACTCTCAGTCCTCATCTCTTCTGGTTGGCACTTTTCATGGCTGGCCTTTATTGCGGTCCTCAGGTTTTCCTTGCTGGCCATCATGTCATGTAGTGAATATTCCGCCCTCTCCGTAATCAGCTGGCACGTCAGATCCATCTCCTATCCACCATCCCACTGCTGACGTCAGTGTGAGATGGAATGACCATGTTGTGGATTCTGGTCAGAAATGGATTTGTTATACGTTACTCCTCTTAGTTACAAGTGATTACTATTGGCTGTTAAGGTCCCCTTGCTTCTTCACATTCCTTCACTTCTCTGTTGTTGTCTCGATATTTCTTTTTCACAGCAGATTAACTCACTGGGTCTGGCACGTGCTGTGTATACTTCTCTTATACCCTCATGGAGCATCAGAGTGCCTCCAACAATTTCTGATTGTTGCCTGGCTGTTTGTTGCTGCCATACAGGCAGTACTATAGCATTGCCTAGTAATGGTTGTCCCCGGTTGCTTGTGGATATGATAGAACTTATCACAGTATCTTCCTTCAAGTTTTCCTTATATCCTAACAGTAGTGCTACAATTGAGAATGATAGAAATAGCATGTCGTACACATTCAGATAATTCATGTCAGCCATTTTACCTTTGGAGTATATCTGTGGTATTTACCTAAACTCTGCTGTTTTAAAGTAGAAGTGGGAAGGATGGAGGAAAGAAATGAAGATGGGAGAGAGAAATAAAAGGGATGGGAACGGAATGTGGAAGAAAGGGCAGAAGGAGATAAATGTATAAAATGGTTGAAGGAAAGGAAGAAAAGTAGGTGATAGATCTCATTTTGTGTATTTTTATGGCTCATTTAATGAAACTGCTGTCAGCTCAGACTAATAGTGTCAAGTGATGGAACTGCTTTGATGCAAGCAGACTATGCGCTGGACAAGTGAGGAAATGGGTAAGCTGGAGATTTCTCCTCATCATTTCATCAAGACTGTGAGGTGACCACTCACCTCCGTCTACTGTCACGGTTAAGAATGGCGGAGCTATGCCTCTACTCCCCCTTTTTCAGGATATAGTGCTTAATTAAGAACAGGAATAACTGGTAAGGTAACGTTCCTGTGCTTAACTAATTAAGTACTATGCCATGAAGGCATATGGGAGAGTGGGTGTATAGAGCCACATTTTCTTGACCTTGGCACTAGTTGGAGGTTATTGGTTGGCTTCGTGCCTCAGCCACTTTACCCCTGGGGAAGCCAAGAAGAGGAATAACTTTACCTGATAAGACTGTTACTATGCTGTGGTAATACATGATTATTTGTATTGCTTTATATGTGCTGACAATTCATTACTCCCTAGTGTTGCCAGGCATCCTTAATTCAATGCCTTGTACTAGAAGCATCTGTCAGAATGCACGCCTCTTTCATATTTGAGTATCCTGATACATTGACTTGGAAGATAAAAACACAGATTAACCCCCAATCAAGAATGTGCTGTGTGCTGATGACAGTTGTTTCACTTTCTGCCTCACCAGGCTGATGGTGAGTGGTTCATCTCCTTTGCCATCTCCACTGTTTGAATGCTGGGAGGAAATCACTGGACACAGGCTTCTAGAGCGATACGGAATGACAGAAACTGGAATGGTTCTGTCCAACCCCCTGAAAGGTGTTCGGAAACCAGGTGAGAACCCTGCCACTTCTTGGAATGCAGTGTACTATATATGTGATCCTCTCATGCAGGTCTGTCAGTGAGAATATGGAATACTTTGAAATAGATAGTGCACCTGGAATTAGCAAGTCCAGCAGTCAGTTTGTGTTTTGGAGTGGTATGGGGCATTTGCATGTGGTAAAACAATGTGGCAAGCTGGCACCAGCATGATGAGTTCAAAGAAACAGTGTAGTCATATTCAGTGGAATAGTAGTGAGAAAGAACAAATTCACATCAAGATAGTAAAAAAATTGTAAATAATACCTCTGGAACAGATAAACGTTACAACTGGTGTCAGAAGTTAGAAGGACAATGAATCCTTCTTTGTAGGCAGTTCTGAAGTAGTTAAAAGAGCTCAAAAAGGACATAAGCACCGGCCAATATCAGCAGACATCCAGCCCAGACAAACTGGCTGCCTACCAAAAAGAACTTCAGAAGGATGTAAGTCCTGACCAAGAATAACTCATAAAGGAAGTATGTGACATAAAGGTCACCCTGAGCAAATTGGAAGAAATAGTAACAGGCATGCAAGACAACTGATGGATGTCATGGTGGTTGTTCAGCAATAGTCCCAGAGTCTTAGCAAGGTCAGTAGTGAGCCTCAGGTGACAGGACTTGATGTAGAGGTGATGTCATGGAATGTCAAAGTGAATGAATGTTACCTAGGAGCCTCAGCCTCATCCACATGTCAGGAGTTTGAGATGCACCTGGCAGCAGTAGAAGCGGGAAGTGGACAGAACATAGGAACCAGCACTGTTATGGTGAAGCCGCTGAAGTTTGGAGAGTGTTCACAGACAGTTTGAGAAGCCACAGAGAAGGCCACCCTTCTACTTGCCATTCTTCAGGGGCAAGCTGCCAACATTCTCCACAGTGGCCCAGCTAAAGCAGTATTTGAAGATCACAGACAAATTCATCCTGAGCTTATGACACAATGGTGCATCTACAGCTGGGCAGGGAAGACATGTTATGTTATCCAGGAGCCCAGCCAGTGAAAGAGCAAGACAACAGCTTCATAAATGTGCAACAGTACTGGAACCATTGCTAGGCAGTGGCAGTACTGTTGGCAGTGGTGTATTCTGTGGGTCCACTCCAAGGCTGTACCACTCAACCAAGTTGAGGTAGTTTATTCTGTGCCTGTCACAGTACAGCAGTACATTGTATGAGGGTTGTGAACTGTCACCTTAACCCTTTCGCGCGGTGATTTAAATTCCGCGGCCGTCTCTCTGGCGGTAATATATTCAGCCGGCCATTTAAATTTTGCTCGAAAATGATTTATTCATCATTGTTCTTAAATTATATGAGATAGGAACATGAAACTTTCACTAAAATGATCTTAAAAGGTGGTTTTATAACCTTACCTTATAATATGAGCGCCCTGTATCTTGGCAATGGAAGCAGGTTGTTTAGTATTTGAGCAGTGAATGGTACGCCTTGAAGCATGAAACTTTCACTAAAATGATCTTAAAAGATGGTTTTTATAACCTTACCTTATAATATGAGCGCCCGGTATCTCGGCAAAGAAGCAGGTGTTTCAGAATTTGAGCAGGTTAAGGAAGGCCTTGAAGCATTCGTCTAACCCAACAGTGCCCCACATTCACAGCTCCAATATTGTGTATCTTTTCTTTTGCCCTTTTTTTTAACCACACATCTGTGCGGCCTTGCCTTCTTCCCCGTGAGGGGTATAGTTCAAGGAAATGTCTTTCCGTGACCCGTTTAGTTGCCAGGTCAGCTGTAGTAAATTCAACGTTACGAGTTATCATAACAAGGGGTTGTTGCTATGCCTTTGATATTCCATCCATTTTGGCGGCAGTAGACGTCATATGGGTGACCACAGAATTCATGAAGTTATTCTAAGAACTGGCTGGTATGTAGTGCACGAAAGCAGAGCTTAGCTGGCTCAAAAAAATATTTATGGTCATCCCTCGAAACGACCACCAAGGTCAGTACGATAAAATGGCGTCAACTGGAGCGATAATACATGAAGGAATGAGTTCTTTTCCCACCCCACACACACCAGTATCGTCATAGGGGGTGACCATAGTGTTCTGCCTTAATTCCTGGCGTTTTTCTAAGAACTGGGTGCTATGTACTGTGCGAAATCAATCGATCTTGCAAGAATAAATTTTTGGACATCCCTCTTCTAAGAATTCCAATTGAGTGTGTTAGTGTGGCCAGCTCAGGGCAATATGATATTATAAACACAGCACATATCACGTCTCTGCTGTTTATAACTTCATAGGAAAGAAAACACGCCATTCATAACAGATTGAACGACTAACAGGAAATTTGCTGCAAGACAGGCATATGTAACGATGACTTAGCGCACCTAAACAAATGCCTCATTATATATAGTACTTGTGACAACAGGACAGCGAAAAATCTAACAATCTACAGCAAAACCATCAATTATCATGGGCGTTATAACATAGGTGTGCAGCTGGACGAAACATAGACGTCGAACCCCCCCAGACGATTTAAATACCTGACGAAACATACACGGCAAACCACGCTGAACGGTTAAATTTCAACAGTAATATGTCTATGGCTGTGGTATTGTTGGATATTGAAAAAGCCTTTCATATAACATGAAAACTTGGCTTGCAATATAAATTATCTGAATTAAAATTTTCAGTCAGTCTAATCAAGGTTATTAGCTCTTTTCTTTGTCAGAGAAAGTTCAGTCTTGGTCATTGGTGAAATGTGTACACCAAGGGATATACCAGCAGGGTTGCCACAGTGTTCCATCCTGTCTCCCACACTATACAGTATATATATATATAAATTATATTCTTCAAACACCTGGTGTCTATCTAAGTCTGCTGATGTCACCTGTATATATGCAACCGGCTGCAAAGAGGGTTATGATCTCAGAAAGCTGTAGTGAGGTCCCAGTGATATTGGGATGTGGTGTGAGTGCTGAAACATAAAAACCAATGAAGATAAGGCTCAGGCATCTACTTATCTCATATACTTAAGCCCCCTGAGGTGCATCTTACATTGAATAATGAATAAAATATATTGGCGTAATCTTTGATGAGAGGATAATATGGAGACTACATAGAAATGACTGAAGCCAAGGCCTTCAGAATATTTATTAGAATCTACTCCCTATTCAGAATTGAGCATTCAAGCACCATCATTAAACAAATCCTCCATAAGGCACTGATCAGATCAGTAATGACTTAGGTTTACCTCGCCTGGAAATTAGCAACAGGCACCTAGCTCTTAAATTTACAGCGCATGCAAAATAAGGTTCTTCGCACAATTGGAAATTTTACAAGGTGTACATAGGCCACGATTTGCATATTGCTCTCAACCTGCCATAGATATATGATTGCATAACAAAATTGTGCAGGCAACAAGCAGAAGTCATACAAAATCATGAGAATGAACATGTTTGCAGTTTAGGACAAGGTGAAGCCGGACATAGAAAATATGAGAGGCTTAAACATGGCGGCGATCAAGGTTACGACTGTTCAAGTGACTAAGCTGCTGTTGTAACATAAGACAATTAAGCTAGACATGATCTGTTTGCAAAGCCTATACTGAAAGAGTACTTATATATAGTGCACAAGGAAAAATTTTCAGTAACATGCTCTGTTTGCAGTACATACACTTGACAAAGGTGAAGAAAAGCCTATTCATGAGAGAAACCCATCCTGTGGTGAGAGAGGATGATGCATAAGTAATGTGGCCACAATGGTTCAGTTGCAAAAAAAAGTCTCTGGTTGTAACCCTTGAGGGACTTGGTACCAAGATGAACTGATTGATGGTAAACTGCCAGTCATAAAGTAAATTTGACTTCAATGTTGACCTTGAGTTAGTTTAGCTATTGCACTACAGTGGAGTGAGTAGGTGAGTGGGTGAGTGAGTTAGAGGACTGGTGTGTTGAAGCTGGTAGCTGAGGCATGGGGACAGTTCGGGAACCCAGAGGAAGGGGAACGTCCACCATTGGAAGCCACTACCAAGCAACGTCTAGTGAAGACTGAGAAGACTTTACGAGTGCTGTGGTTACAGTGATCTGTGGAGTTTGTAACTCAGTGACACTTTCATAGAAATTTGTAGTTACATTCTGTAGATGTTCAGTAAATCCAATTACCGATCCAAATCATGTCTATAGTCACTCGTATGTGACAGTATGCTTTCTGGGGTCACATGGTGCTTGACCCTGGATTTGAAGAGTGGCTACAGTGAGTTACCCTGCATGCCAGCAACATGGAGAAGGCAACATTCTGTACCAGATGGGCTATGGCAGTTCACAGATACACCGTTTGGACTTTGAAATGCTGTGGCAATGTTTGAATGCCTGATGGAATCTGTCCTGTGGGATCTTACATTTGAAGCTTCCCAGGTATACTTGTGCTCAAACTAAACCTTAAGAAGTTTCAACTCTTCCAGAAGGAAATGCAGTACCTAGTATCACTAGAAGAAGTGATCACAGACCCAGAGAAGCTGAAGGCTGTATGGATGTGGACACTGCCAGAGACAAACATATGTTGAGGAAGAGTACTGTCTTCTGGGATATAGTGCTATGTAGTCCTTTGACTTTCAAGGGGATTACTCAGTGTTATATCACAGAGGATAGTTCTCTTCATAACTACTGCTGTGAGACCCTCAAATCTTATATGTGTTGAGGAGAGCCCTTGGTTTCTACAAAAGGTTTCTAGCTGGATTCATGGACATTACAAAGCCATTGACCGATCCCACAGATTTTCTGTGTTCTCTAGAAGCAGAAACTGCCTTCTGTGCTCTGAAGAAGTTGTGTGTGGTACCCATCCTAGGATATCCATTGCAAGGTGAGAAGTTGTCCACACAAACTTGATCAACATAGAGCCAGGAGCATGTAGTATCTTACTTCAGCAGAACACCTTTCCAAGGGTAAGAGAAAATGCTGTGTGACCCGATGGGAGTTGCTGGCTGTCGAGGAAATGCTGGAGCACTTCCACAGATACCTCTGTGAACAAGAATTCCAC